GATAATCGAACACACATACTGTACGTATGCATGCCATATGCTGTAAATCAGTAACCAACGATTTTCTTCCGAATGGCGAGGGATCCGGATAAAAGAGGACTGGATAAGCGAGGTCTGACTGTAGTATTGATCTGCTACGCTTCCAGCTTCCAAGTACGGTTTTCTCTGAGACTTTGGACAGGTTTGTATGCGATGTGTCGCGCGCGCAGGCATTACTTTTGTACCTCCCGTATCGTACGCAAACGTGGTGCTCCTAAACCGAAGGAAAGGTCCACAACCAGTCAGCTTTATTGACATTTCACTACGCGATGAAGGCAGCTCGCCGTGCAGTTACCAATAGCTTGGAGATCGAATCTGCACACTCTCCCATCACAGCACTCTTTATAGAGATAACATGAATTCAGAAAAATAGTAGTACAGGTAGAATCCTAATAATTTGAACCCCAACATGCCAGGGAAAAAACTTCTAATTATCCGGACATTCTGATTATCCAAACATGTACCCGCAACACATTATGTACCGGTACGTCAAAATGCTCGCATAGACACGTAGAGTTGCACTACACACACCTTAGACACAGATTTAGTGGACACTGAACTGCCTGCGCATGCAAACAAAACTGACTTGTAGAAAATAACGTGGACTTCAAATTATGCTTCGCTAACTTCGAATTATCAGCACAAATCCCACACATGTTCTATGTACAGTCAACTTCGCTAATAACGACTGCGGATGTAACGACAATTTGCGAATAACGACAGAATGTCCATGCCCAGAGCAAGGTCCCATCTACCTGCAATACATATAATCAAGAGTAGATAAACAAGAGTGTGCAACTCGCGGATGGGTAGGCCCACGGCGGAATTTTTTGTTGACGTAATCTTTTCGATGACGCACGCGCTGCGAGTCTTTCGGAAAGTTTTCCCTCGTGCTCTTGGCCGGCTTTACACTACAAGGTCGGTGCCCAGCACGTGCTCTCACACTGCTCCGCGGCAAAATGCGCATTCTTCTGAAAAAAAGGTGACGTCAACAAAAAATTCCGCCGTGGGCGGGGGTATCTGCAGATTATGCAGGAGAGATCCGGAGTTGCACACTCTTGTTTATCTACTCTTGATGTAATGAGACTTCGGGTATAAGGACACTTCGCGAATAAGGACACTTTTCTGATGCCCCGCCTAGTGTCGTTATAGGCAAAGTTGACTGTAAGTGGATTCCCAGGGACTTCTAACAAACCGGACATACTCAGTTCGAGGTTCGACTTATCAAAAATTGTTATGTGGAGTGACGGGACATGTGTGAAACTTCAATGCGGCACACTTAGAGTTTACGTATGCATGTAGTAGTAAAAATACTTCTCGCCGGTCCCAGAAAGGTACCCTAAAACATGTAATTTAGGTGTGTTAAAATTTCGATATCAGGGACCTGCCAGGTTTCAGGTGTGATGTAGAATTAGGTGACCAGGATTCCCTTCACATACAGTGTGTGCTCTGATGCCTTTTATGTGCTGGTTTCACTACCGAAATCACTGAAAATAAAGTCACACCGAAAAGAGAGGTTAAGTTGCACGTTATTTCCGACGTGACGCGCAATTTCGCGTCAAATTTGGCGTAAAACTCCAAATTTCGACGTGAGCAGCAGGTCACTCGCGTTGACTTTTCGACGTGCGAGGCAAATAACGCGAGCTGAACTTTCGCGTCACGTCAGAAATAACGTGCATCTTAACCTCTCTAATATCGTACAGTAGCCGGTAGTGTGGCCGGTGATAGGATAAGTGGCGGGTAGGTGTGCTTGGTACGGTGAGCGCTACTGTGTTTGTGGCTGCTGTGGTTTACCGTGGCTGCTGTTGCCGTCGCTCTTGTCCTTAATAACCTCTTTCTTTTTGCGACGTCTTCCTGTTGTTTCAGGAGAAGATGAAGATCTGGTCTGGCCGCAGTGACTCTTCGCCTCAGTTCAGCGCATGGAGAGAGGAGACGAATTTTGATCCTAACCAAGTGTTTGACCCGCCGCAGCCAGCACCGTGCTACAAATGGCGCAGAGGAGGTATGCAAGTGCTTAGGGCTCCTAGCCTCTGGCTGGTGTTCAATCTGTTTCCAGATTTCCTGCCATCAGTTGTCATCTGTTGAAACGAAGCAATGAAATACCATTGGACGAAGTGAAGATGAGGTACCTCAGCCGGTACTCTGCAAGGATGTTGAATAAAGCTAGTTCTACTTTGAAGTGGATTTGTGCAGGTGCTCTGAACAACTTGTGAATCAGGTGATGTTGAAATGGCGTGCACTGTTGATCTCTCCACGGCTCCTCTCATTGATATGGTGATGCCTGGACGGTGCAAGTTTGACCTTGCTGCTTTGCGTGCGTGCGCACGTGTGTGTGTGTGTGTGTGTGTGTGTGCACGTGTGTGTGTGTGTGTGTGTGTGTGTGTGTGTGTGTGTGTGTGTGTGTGTGTGTGTGTGTGTGTGGTGCGTGTGTGCACATGAACCTAATGGGCTGCTACCGCCACAATGGTTGTTGTGATCATGTTAGATTCCATGTACGCCAATCAGTACAGTCAAGGCATCATGCAGCCCACTGAACCGTATCTGCTCCGCGTCACCATTGTTGGAGCGCCTTCCGCAGGAAAGTCCACTCTCATGAATCGCCTCGTCAAGCATAAGGTAGGGGCAGAGAGTACTGATACCACTTTGACATGTGTGCGCATGTGTGGGTGGGGGTGGTGGTGGGGGGGGGGGGGGGGGGGGGCATGTGTGTGTGCTGTGCTGGTAATCCTTCAGAATGTTGCTGCTGATGGTCGAATTTGCTGACAGTAGACACCCTTAGCAAAGAACGGTAACGCTGTTTTTTGTACGGTTATTCATACCTTGATCCACCATATAGCGTTAAAGCTGCAGCGTAAAGACGTTATGGGGGCTGATTTATCGTTGTGACCAAACGGTACGGTTTTTTGGCCAAATATTGCGTAGTGCGTACCCTTTTCACCTTGTATCGCGTATATGGGGCCATAAATGGTCATAAATGGTGGTACCGCGCGAAATAAAAGCTAATCTCGTGGCAACAGCGTACTAAAATTAGCTCCATCTTGCTAAAGGTCGAACCCAAATCACGGTATTTTTCCCCTTACGGTAATACCGTTACAACATACCGTCCTTTGCTAAGGGTGCCTAGTGCCTTTCACTTGTCACTGTAGTTATGGCAACAGCACGATTTTGGTGATGTGCTGTACTGCAGGAGCACTCATGACATTATTAATAAATGGTGAAATGTTATTTCCAGGGAAACTTCAGTATAATGTACCTCAGAGGCCACTAATAATACCCTGTGCTTTGTAGCTGAGATCCCTGTGTATCCATTGGCCAAATGACTGGTGTTGTGTATTGTGCATGTCCTGCGACTTTGAATTGTGTCGCCTAGGTTCTTTGTAGCCCGTTTGGGTTTCTCTATCTCATTTCCGACAGTGATTGTCTGGTCCTTCGTTGTTCTGTGCTCCCCCCGTGCAGTCTCTGCTACGTCAGCACTTTCCACAGACCACTCGCTCTCGCATCCTGGGTATACTCACCGAAGGGCGCACACAGATCGTACGTGTCTGAGCCTCTCTGGCCCCTCTCTCGCTTGCATAATAATTATAGATCCCTTTTAGGGCTACTTGTGGTAATGCGTTAGTTGGTAGGTTGTGTGAACTCCTTTCTGCATGTAACCTCTCTGTTGACCCAGCCACACGCTCTTTAAAAGTATTTGCACTGTTAAGTGGAAACTTCGCGAGGGCTTTTTTACACAGGCCACTTCAATGCCAAACTTGTGAGGTTCAGGGAGCTCCGCCGACCTAGAGTCCCTGACGTACTAAGGGGGGGGGGGGGGGGGGGGGGGAGGGGAGTAACAGAGAGAGAGTTGCGAGATTGTGAAAAAAGCAGAGCCTTGAAAGCATGATGATTAATGAATTGTTTTCAGCCTCAGGTTTTTGGTCCCCTGATCATTATCGTTACAGGAACACAAGCTAGAGGCTCGCAGTGAATACCCGGTCAATACCCAGTCAATATCCAGTCAATATCCAGTCAATATCCAGTCAATACCCAGTCAATACCCAGTCAATATCCAGTCAATACCCAGTTCCAATACCCAGGTCAATACCCAGTCAATACCCAGTCAATACCCAGTCAATACCCAGTCAATACCCGGTCAATACCCAGTCAATACCCAGTCAATATCCAGTCAATATCCAGTCAATATCCAGTCAATATCCAGTCAATATCCAGTCAATATCCAGTCAATATCCAGTCAATATCCAGTCAATACCCAGTCAATAGGGCTTGAAAGTGATGACGTCAAAACGGCCAGGGAGTAGTAAGTTGACATCAGATTTCTATTTTTGGATCCACTAAGGTGTGACTTTGCTATTGCCTATGTATGTGGGTGCATAGCAACCCACTCATGTCGCATGCAGGTGTGACTTTTATTTCGCCACCAGTTGTAACCCCGCCCCCAGTAGCCAAATCAGTCAGTTTCACTGGCTACATCACCATGCTGTGGGTAAGACCGCTTGAAATGTGCTTGGATCCATACAAAAACTGGATCCAAGTGGATCCAGTTTTTGAATTTTTGAAATTGTTGCTATGCTGTGACGTAGCACTTTCAAGCCCTATACCCAGTCAATACCCAGTCAATACCCAGTCAATATCCAGTCAATATCCAGTCAATACCCAGTCAATACCCAGTCAATATCCAGTCAATACCCAGTCAATATCCAGTCAATACCCAGTGAATATCCAGTGAATATCCAGTGAATATCCAGTGAATACCTTTCTGAATACTAGCTATTCTAAAGCGAAAGTTTGTCTTATCAGTGTTTGTCCTAACGAGATCTTACTGTACTTGTATCTTCATGTGATTGTGCTGCCTTGCTGGAGCCTAGCCTGTTGATGTATCATCTAGCAAGTCTGCTGCAATGGTGTGCCAGTGAAAGGGGTTTCCCCGCAACGCAGTGTTAGACGTTTTGTGCGACTTTGCGTTTCTTGTGTTTGCTGTCGCACAGGTTTTTGCCGACACGCCTGGTCTTGTTCCGTTTGCCTTTGCTCGCAAGTAAGCGGTTGGAATTTAAATGACATGCTGTTATGGATGTATGAGAGTAGAGTGTACCAACAACCTTGGACATGGCGAGCTCTCCAAGTCATTTGCACGTGTATTTTACCACGATCCTGAAACTGCACTCTGGAATTGCTCTCTGGAATCTCTACGCCCCGCCACACTCACGCACACGAGCGCACACACCCTCTCCCCCCCCCCCCCCCCCCCCCCCCCACACACACACATGCATGCATTTACTCTGAGGAAGTATCATCTTGTCCTCCATGAGAACGGAGTGCTTCTTACACAACCTCTTGTGATCTATATGTCCCTTCTAAACATGCTACTAGTTATGATTTCAAGTTGACTAGCTGCTGCTACTGCCGATGCTGATGCTGATGCTGATCTATGTGTTAATATACAGTCATATGCAACAGCATGCTGAAGTGTGTGTCTGACCTCCTGTGCACTTTTTTCTTCAGGAAGGGCTTGCCCGACTCGTTGACCCGTGGGGCGTTCCACTCCTTACTTGGATCAGACTTGGGTATGTGCATTTGAGTGCATTTGTGCGCGCGTTCGTGCGTATGCTATGTTTGTGGCTGGGTGTATGGAGAAGGGGGGGGGGGGGGGGGGATGAGACGAAACACAATGAACTTACTTCATACTCACGGTTTCAGTTACATATATCTCTTTTTCCGGCCGCCGTGCGTGACAAAGGCCGTGGATGGCAAAGGCCGTGAATGGTATTCGCAAGCAGGTGACCCTAGTCCTTGACCAACTACCCCATCGGTAGCGGCTGTGAATAGTTTGGAGAACAGAGGGTGACCAGGAGTAGGTAGTAGGTATGGATAGTAGGTATGGATTTGAACACTAACCTTGTTGCTACCGGTATGCAGTGCTGGGTGTTACGTTATAATGTGTCTGCCTGTTGAAGGTATGGCCATTCTAATCTCTCTCTCTCTCTCTCTCTCTCTCTCTCTCTCTCTCTCTCTCTCTCTTTCTCTCTCTTCCTTTCTCTCTCTCTCTCTCTCTCTCTCTCTCTCTCTCTCTTTCTCTCTCTCTTTCTCTCTCTCTCTCTCTCTCTCTCTCTCTCTCTCTCTCACACACACACACACACACACACGCACGTATGTATCTACAGTCATGGTGGTGACAGATGCATCCAACAAGATCAACACCATCCACCCCAGCGTACTGAAGCTGCTCAAGGAAAATGACAAGATACCATCTATTCTGGTCATGAACAAGGTGAGTAAGTGCAGGTATTGTAAATCAACAAACTTAGGCCAAGGTTTTTCTAGCAGCTTTCTACATTGAAATGGATGGCTAAAAACTTGAATTCTGTGCATTCAGTACATCCAGCACATGTATAGGTACGGTATTAGATAAACCTTGTTTTGTTCAAACATGTTGTTGATCGACAGCATGTAACAAGGTGGAGGACACTGTGTTCGGAAACAGTGACCTTTCTACAACCAACCATGGTTGGAAGGGTCTAACACCCATACGGTTCAGATGGTCTCAACCGACCTGGGCTCTACCAACCGTGGATGGTTGTAGAAAGGTCACTGTTTCCGAACACGGTGGTCCTCCACCTTGTTACATGCTGTCAACCCAACAACATGTACAGGTACCTGCAGTGAACTGTGGTCTCCCCCTGTTTAGATTTGCTGCTCCTTTTGGTGCTGATCTGTTGAAGGTAGCTGGAAACTAGATCGGATTTTCAAATTGGCCCGAAATGTTTGGGATGTGAAGTATGCAGTGTCTTCAGTGTGTCATGTAGGGATGAAATGGCCAAAACAAGTAGCTGGTCACCATCAATATTGTGGAGTAATGAGCACCCCAAAATTGGATATTTTGGGACTTTTGCTAAAATTTAATACCACTTATCTTGCTCAAAATAGTCCGTTATGAGAAATTGACCCGGATTTTTTCGTTTAATTTTTTACAAATCAACTCTACAGTGCATATGCACTTCTTTCAGAGGACTGCGCACATTTCAGGTAGCAATGGATGTGTGCACCTCTGGTGACCTTGGGTGCGAAAAGAAGCTGCCCGTCATCTGCACCCACCCACCGAATGAGCCAACCACCCTGCGCTTGTCTTCTGGCTCTGCAACAGAGCATAGGCCTAGAGTTCAGGACCTACTTTTAAACAATAGTTCCGCATCACGCCCAACCGGGTCCTTTCCTACCGCTACACTCCAACAGTCTCTTCTCCCTGGCCAATAACAGTGTTCATTGAAGTAATAGGTTTTCAATTTGACCCGACGAGACCACACGACGCTTGCAGACGGCAGCACAAACAGTTCACCTAAAAACCTATGACTACTGCTTGAAGTATGAATTGACGGACCTATTGAAGATGGCAACAAAGAATTAATGTTCGTTGACCTTTTTTCTGATCTGCCACTAGCCTGTACTCTTTGTCTCACACTCCAATCTCCAATTTTCTTCTCACCTGCCAGCCATGCGAAATCACGTGTGTAATCCTTTTTTCGCGTCTGTTATGGCGCTCTGCTCCTTTCTCTCGTGTCTCAGCTCGATAATGCTATCTCGCACTAGTCTGGCATGTGTGTGTGTGTGTGTGTGTGCGCGTGTGTGTGTGTGTGTGTGTGTGCGCACGCATGTGTGTGTGTGCGTGTGTGTCTGTGTGTGTGCGTGTGTGTGTGTCTGTGTGTGTGCGTGTGTGTGTGTCTGTGTGTGTGCGTGTGTGTGTGTCTGTGTGTGTGCGTGTGTGTGTGTCTGTGTGTGTGCGTGTGTGTCTGTGTGTGTGCGTGTGTGTGTGTCTGTGTGTGTGCGTGTGTGTGTGTCTGTGTGTGTGCGTGTGTGTGTGTGTGTGTGTGTGTGCGTGTGTGTGTGCGTGTGTGTGTGTTTCAGCAAGACCCTAGTTTTAAAGCGTGTTGCCACACAGTCAATGTTCTGAAATCTGCTATGTAATAATGCCAACTGACATGGACCAGACCTCGGAAGTTCAATCAACCTGTAATGTTGGTGTGTGTGTGTGTGTATGTGTGTGTGCGCGTGCGCGCGCGTGCGTGTGTGTGTTTCTATACTCCTTGTGTTTGTGTGTCTAGATTGATGAGGTGAAGCAGAAGCATCTTCTTATGGATCATATCTTCACGCTGACGAATGGCATGACTTCTGAGAATCCTGTTGTACCGATGGAGAACACCTATGCCATGCCTAAAGATCCGAACGATCAAGACGAAGGCCAGGAGCAACTGATGATTGAGCCGCCAGAGTTTGGATCCAGTCCCGAAGCCATTGCTGCGGCCGAAGAGATTGATGAGCACGGTGACGAGTTGCTGCCAGATTTATCTCTTCCGAGCAGCTTAGGCGATGCTCAGGACGGTGATTTCTCTCAGGCTCCTCTTCACTCCACTAAGACAGGAGGCAGTGATGAAGGCGTTCCTGTTGACACTGCCGTAATTGGAGCTGTCGGTAGTGAAGATCAACCTGAGCTCTTCAACGAGCCACAGCAGAAGGATAGACAGCTAACGTCGTTGATGGGATCAAAGTCGAGCAGCAGCGGTAGCATGGAAGTCCTGGCCAAGGCACGCGGTGATGACATTGACACTGGCAATGGCAATGGCAGTGTGCCAGCACCCTGGGCGGGTCTGCCATACGAGCCCGCTCTGATCCGCGTCAATGAGAACACCGTGCTGAAAGTGCCGCCGCCACCCAATCTTGTCGGCGATCCAGACGAGCGCGGTAGCACGTTGGCCGACCTCTCCACCGGCGTTGTTCCGTACACCACCGACACGTACAAGCCCAAGAAGCCAATGAAGCGGGACGTCATTCCCGAAGAGCCCTACATCGACGAGGACGGTGTGGAGGTGTTGCATCCGCGATGGAAGATCAAGTTGCAGCCGCAGACGTATTGGGAGAACTTTGAGGATGTGTTCCTGGTGTCTGCACATACCGGTGATGGCTTGGGAAAACTGATGGTTAGTGCCGTAGTGCTGTGCATGTGCTTATGCATGCCAGTTGTTTCTCCGCGATCAGTATTTCGTGTGTTCTTTGCTTCTGAACTTTTTGAAGTCGCTGGGTGCGTCTAATGTGTGTATGTGTATGTTTGTGTACATGTGTGTATGTGTGTGTGTGTGTGTGTGTGTTTGTGTGTACGCGTACATGCATTCGTATGTGTACTCTCTCTCTCTCTCTCCCTCCCTCCCTCCCTGCGATACGAACGTTAGGTGTGCTTGCATAACCATGCCAAGCCAAACAACTGGATGTTCCCGTCAGAGGACGTCAGTGACATGGAGCCGCAAGATATTGTTGAGGAGGTCATCCGTGACCATCTCTTCAAGTATTTGAGAGAGGAGCTGCCATACCAGATAACACAGGTGAGAAGGCACGGAGGCACGGAGGCAGCTCTGTAGCCGGCAATGCCTGCCATTGTCTGCATAGTACGGTATAGTAAACCGTGTCACTGGCACACGTGTACATTGTACATGTTGATATGGTTCCAACACGACTGCATGCGTACCGGTGTCCGTGTGTGGACATGCGCTGGTATGCGCGTGACTACGGCATGTATGCGTCAGGTTTGTTGTCGTCACTGTACGCACATGCGTATAGGCCATCTGGATATTTGCTGAAATAACTTTATGTCCGGTGGTATGTGGGCTAGGGGGCGTTTGTTTGCCTTTGAAATCAACCGGGGCCATTCCAGACTTCAAGTACACGTTCCTGTGTAGTAAGGAAGAACTAATGTTGTAACTTGCCCGGAAGTCTGCTGGTTAGTGGTCATTGGGAATTCTGCCACTTTAGTATACTGTCGATGTCCTGATTTCAGAACTGTTCCTAATTTGTTGTCAGCCCCCCAGCGGGGCTGTGCGAAGAGATTGTCTTACGGCGCATGTACAGCATTTGCATATGTACACTATATCACTGGGTATGTGGTATGGCCTCTGTTGTTGCTGCTGCTGCTTTCTGCTGTGTGTTGTGTAATTGTAGCATAACGATACCTTCCAGGCTGGCCGTGATCGTCTGTTCATAGCACAGCAGTTGATTGTCACCAAGGACAGTCATGTGGTAAGTTGATTACGTTCGCACTTCAGGCGCGTAGCCTGCATGGGGCGCTTGCACCCACTTGCGCCTTGCATGGGGGGGGGGGGGAGGAGGGGGCACTTGCACCCCCCCCCCCCCCCAAAGTTCGACCCAGGTTCAGCATGCACATGATGACTATGATGACATGCACCAGCCATCCTACACGTATGATACAATACTCTGGTGAAGCGGCCGTACCCCCCTCCCCCGTCCCTAAGAGGGGGACCGGCTACGCCCCTACACTTGCTCTAGGCATCAGATATTCAACACCAGCATTCGCAGACCCGATCTTAAAGTCCATGCGGAAATAATACTGTTGATCTGTGGCCCTTTTGTAACCTCATTTAGAACCAAAAGTCGTGTTTTAACTTGGCGTGAATGGGTTTTGGCAAGAGCACTTAAGGTGTGCAACTCCTGCATACGCTACTGTCCGCACGGAATTTCAAGTTGACGTCATATTGATGATACGATCCTCCTCGCACGAGCGGTTTACGGCGTTTGTATGGGGTGTCAATTCATCATAATAATGACTGTGTTTTCTATAACTAATTTGTATGTAAAGATTCTACCCGAGGTGCTCTGCCTGGACAGGTGTGCACGTGTATGCCTGTACCATTGCATCACCTATACGCAGTCTCATTCTTGCTGACTTCATGTATCTGTCTCGTATTCCCCCCTCGCAGCGCTTTGTTGCTGGCCCGCAAGGTACCAAGCTCCGCGCTACGCGCATCGCTTGCCAGAATGCCCTGACCAAGATCTTCGGCTGCCCGGTCTTGTTGAAGATGCACATCACGCTCAAGGGTCGGGTGAGTAACCGTGTGTGTGTGTGTGCATGTGTTTGTGTGTGTGTGTGTATGTGTGTCTGTGCGTGTGTGTGGGGGGGGGGGGGGGGGTATGCACATGTGTATTAGACTTGAGCAGATGATATCTGGTCCCTTTGGTTCTGAAATCACCCTGAACTTATTGGTGTGAGCTGGAGGTATCAACGCAGGCGCATGCTGAACAGATTTTATTGAGCAACACATACGCTACAGTCAAACCTATCAAGGCAACCACCCTGATAAGACAAGCACCTGTCCTAGAGGCCCACTACAGCCAACACCGAGGGATGGCGTTTTCAGTCAAATGACCCTGGATACAACTACCGCCTGCACACAGAGGTTGCATTTGGAAGGTCCCTTGAGCGGTCAGCTTAGACAGGTTTCACAGCCTGCCCGCTTGACTGCATGCCTACATCTCTGCTACGACTTTTAAGTTAAATGCATCCTAGTACCATTCCTAACTTGTGTGTACATCTCTGTTTATGCGCGTGTGTGTGTGTGTGTGTGTGTGTGTTGTGTTTTGCCTGTCTCTCTCTCGCCTGTGGCATTGCAGAACAAGACCTCGTCGGATAGGGCGCCGGCAGAACTCAAGATGACCGAGAGAGTAGCCAAGAGAGTGCAGAGGTCCATTCTAGCAGGCCAGCAGGGAGAGAGACGCGAGAATCTCCTCAAGCTTCGCCAACAGTTGCAGGAAACAAAGGAGCAGAGCAAGTCACACGACGCGCCGAATGAGGAAACGCGGTGAAACCGCTCTGGTCACCCTGAGTGACCTCCTACGTTCTTCTTCTCCGCCATGAGCCAGTGGTGAATGCACTGTGCAGTGTACAATCTCTGTTCAGCTGACACACTGCCGTGGCAACCTACACACCGTTGATTGGACCAGTTCTTTCTGCAAACTGGAGTCACTCTAAGTTTAGTGAGGACATGTGTCTTCATCGTCTTCTTTTCTTTTGTGGAAAAGGACATGTCGGTGCTGGTACACCGCGGCTGTAGCCATGTGTGGCGGAATAGGACAACTCTGGTGGACTTGAAAGACTTGGCATCCCGATGCTGCTCACTCCCGTCTGCTGATGTGCAGATGGCCTACATGTATATTTTCACTATTGCCTCGTGTTTCAGAGTACTTTCCTCTTACTTGTTTTCACGGTGACAGCGTGAACAAGGCGAGGACGTAATGTATGGGAACGTCCTCGCCGTATCGTTAAAACATGTTACCTAGCAGGCAAGGCTTGCATTCTATACTTTCCTCTTACTGTACAGACGCCTGGATCGGTGATAGCCTGGTGGGCAGGAAAGCATTTGTACCGTTCTACCCCCATAGAACCCCGGCACGGCAGGCACATTAACCGCAGCTGGACATTTGTTGAGCCCTGTACCCCCTCCCTGCCTGCTTCTAAGTCAAAGCCGAATCTGGCCAGAGATTGTCATGTTCCTGCGGCTGGCAAAGTTGATGCTGTTTTCGTTTCAAGGATACGTAGCACTAAACTGTCTGCTGTTCCTTTGGTCGTCAAAGCTCCGCATCTCTAAGCTACTTCAAAGTACTTATCGCATCAGAGAACCTGAATTCGGACTTCGTAACTTGACAAAAATACTCACAAGATCAAGATGCCTACTGTGCGTTCTTTTAAACATGGATGCATGTTTGCGTTGAGGGTCGGGTGATGATTCCCGGGTATGTGTCTTGTACCAGCAGAGAGATGGGAGATGATGTTAGGGAGCTAAAAGTCTAAACAAAAAAAGATCACTTGTCAGCAGTAGATGAATGCTCTCTCAGGACTCTATGTGCGTGCTCCAGTCTGATCGAGGCAATCATTGAGAAGAGTGCAGCAATCATTACCTGGAGAATACATGTTGGATGATGACAAAGAAGAGAATGAAGAGCATTGGGCGTATTAGTTCTACCATACAGATGATTGCGCGGATGCCCCGAGCGGAAAGAACTCGTAGCCGGCTTGGAAAACGAGAGAGAGACCAGCTCCTCCGCAGCCTTGGTTTGTATCGAAAGCGCATGGTAAGTCGCAGTTATTGGCGGCAACCTCACCACTCGGTATGCTGTTACCGCACCAGCAACGAAGGCCGTCGGACACACCTGCATAGCGGAAGCCCCCAGAACGGCAAGTGTCAGAGCACACGTCTGGTGCCATGCAGCCCAGAGTGAGGGAGCGATTCAGAGGACTGTTAGCGTCTTGGGGAAAGCAGCCAATGAGATTGTCAATCCGTGTGCCTACAAATCAAGAACACAGTATGGAACACAACACCAAATCCACAACGTTAGTTATGAGATCTGAAAGTACTGATGAAAATCGTTACTAAATTCGGTACAAGATATTGGCGACTTTTGTTCAATGTTCACCGATAATTTCTTCCGAATTGGTCGAGAACTCACGCGCTTTTGAATTTTGATAAAATACTCGAAATAATCGGATACTCGATAGAATATTAAGAATGAGTGGTCGATTGGTCAAAATATATAATCATTTCACCCCTAATAATAATTATCACTCCCCCTCACGTGACCGCGGACTCCTGCATATACACTCACACAATAACCACACAACTGTTTGGGGATAGCGCGCTTATTGTATTATGCTAAACTTGACACGCTGAGTCCAGCTTGACTCAGCTGAGTCCCTAACTGCAATTTACTGCTCTAAGGCCTCGGTCACACTACGGCAAAAATGCTGCGTCAGCGTCAGAATCATGAGCTTTTCCATGGCAACTGACGCAACGCGGGAAGTTTGATCGTCAGACGCTGCTGCGTCTGACGTGGGGAAATCGGCTGCGTTGCCGCTGATGGGAGTGACGCTTGGCGGAAAAACAGTGTCTTTCAAGTAAAATTAGTTTCAAGACACTTTGCTTGAGTTGAGCAGTCATTCGATATTCGTCTGTTCAAGGTTTTTTTTGTTCCCTCTTTTTGTTCGAGATGAGTCCGTGGACCTACGAGGCCGAGGCTGCTCTGCTCCGAACCTGGCGGAAGAGCGAGGCGTTTTCTGAGAAGAAAATGATGTCGAGAAAGGACCAGTTGTTTGAGTGGGTCATCGGCCAACTGGAGCTTGTTGACTTGTGAGTGTTGTGTTGTCGTCAAGAGCCCCAAAAAGGACAACCAGTACAGGGGCGTCACACACGGTACGACCACTACGACCATGGTCGTACCACTTTTCGTCCAGGATGGTCCACCCAATTCATCCGAAAAAGCAATAAAAAAATTCAAGGATCTTCGGACTTGTACAAAACATCGCAACTGTTACTTTCATTGCAAGGAGCATACAGACTTGATGCCTAGCACTAGCAGCTAGCTATTGCCCAAGACTCCAGGCGGCTATCCATTACGATAGGCGGTTGGAGTCACGGTTAGAGACAACCAGACGATGGATTCCTCACGGACGCATTCACTGCAAACTTGACGGAAACAGAGCTGAGCTGGCGGCAATCACTGGGTCCAGAACTAAAAATTTCCAAGATCTACCATGTTACAATGGCGATCAGCACGTCAAGAGACACTACATGTATGTCACTTGTCAGCTACAACATAATAATTATATTCTTTCCACAACGACACCTACCTAGTACCTCTGGCTCCTGACGATCTACTGCAAGCGGATTCGAAAATGCATTACACCCGCGAACGCAGCGCTTGTCAACGGAAAAGGGAAGCGCTTCATTCTCCGAAGCTGAAAAGTGTTTGGACTGCTGCTCCACGGCGGCAGAATATTCTGCAGCTGTTCACCGACACGACCCGCTTCACCTATATTATAACGATTTACGATCGTTTCGTTCCCCGAGTTTTCCGGTAGCAGCAATAAGAATTTCGTCCGCGACGACAGGATGAAAGTCTCTCGCAAACTAAAGTCCTGTTGCCACGAAGACAGAGAAGATTCCGCAAGAGCTTTCTTCTGCTTCCATTGTTGTAGCTCTCCGGTCCACTGGCAGATCTTTCAATCCCACCGAACAAAAACAAAGGATCTTCTTCTCTCTCTAAAAACAACTAAAATTGTTTGCGACTGTCCAGGCCGGACGTGTACATAGTGTACGCGACGCGGCAGACTTTTGCAGGACACGACATACATGTACGTTTTTGCATAGCCGCTGGCGCTAGAACGCTCAGCACGCTGGTACTTCGGATTTTGCGATTTTTTCGAGGGCAATGGCCCTGAATCATTGAATCAATGGGTTCCAGTACTCAGTAGTATGTTTTTGGAGCTGGAGTGGGGTTGTCGAATAAGTGCTAGGGGAACCCTCCTTTGCGGCTGTAGAGTGCTAAAACGTGGTCTGTTAGCCGAAAAATCCTTATTTTTTTCTCCGGGGGACACCCCCGGACCCCCGGTCGTACCACTCCCAGCCACCCTGTGACGCCCCTGCAGTATGACGAAGTCAGGAGAAACACAGCTGCGATGCGGACTTTTCTTGCCTGATCAATGACACTACAACTGAAAATGGCTTCAAATTCGGAAAGAAACAACAACGATCGTGCACGCGTGGACCTACAACTGTAGTACCTTTCGTCTTCTTGTAATCAAAAATCAATGAAAAATTCGAAAACTTTGTCCGACAATTTTTTGTATAATCAGCAAAAGGCCGGTTTCCGTGGGAATCCGTGTCGTCATTGAGTTTTCCTGGTGGTTTTGTGACGTAGACAAACGCGTCAAGCCGCGGCAGTCATGAGCTGCAAAAAAACAAAACACTGTGTGACCCCACGTCTCCGTCAAGTGCTGCGGCTTGACGCTGCGTCCAGCTTCAAACTGCCGTAGTGTGACCGAGGCCTAACATGAAGCCGTGCCTGGAAGAAGGGAAAGAGCGAGAAAAAAAATTCTGGCCTTCTGCAAGCAATAGCAAGTAATGAGTGACGGCTGTGTAAAGTCGCACAACCATGCAGTCGACCGGATGATGGTGAGTGTCCGGCACACATCTTGCTCTGCTGCTCCACCTGCGCATACCTGATACGGTGGTGCGCTTACGGGCGGGCTGCCTGTGCCCCAGATGCCTCCTTGATGTGCCACAGAGTGCCGTCGAAGCACCTGTATCACTTCGGTGATCCAAATGCGAATGCAGCATTGCCGGTCGCCCGCCGGCCTGCCGCCTACGCGACCAGCCTGAGACTGGCCCTGCCGCATTTGGCGCTTCTAAACGCTGCGATCCGGTAGACAGCTCACTGGGCTGCCAAATACGTAACTGGCTTGAGGATAGTTCCATACTGGGCAGGGCGCCCAGCTCAGGTCGCACGCCGTAGCGGCGTGAGCTGGGCGCGGTGAGGGTTGGTGATAACTACAGTTTCCTCCTTCCTCCTCCGGAAACTTCCATTTATCACTCCCCCTCACGTGACCGCGGACTCCTGCATATACACTCACACAATAACCACACAACGCTGCGATCCGGTAGACAGCTCACTGGGCTGCCAAATACGTAACTGGCTTGAGGATAGTTCCATACTGGGCAGGGCGCCCAGCTCAGGTCGCACGCCGTAGCGGCGTGAGCTGGGCGCGGTGAGGGTTGGTGATAACTACAGTTTCCTCCTTCCTCCTCCGGAAACTTCCATTAATATTATTATTGTACCAACCAAGTCCACATCATTAGAGAGGTTCCGCAGTACGTAAAGTAAATTAGTTAAGCAACTACTTTACGTTAGTGGGCGGGAAAACCCGAGAATTCGCGAGTTTGCACTCCTCTTACGGAAAGTTGACTAAAGACATGTACAGTGAAACAACCTGTCCAAGGCGACCTCTCAAGGGACGAAAAAAGTGGTCGCCGTGGCCAGCTGGTCTTCTTGTCCAGGTTCAGTGGGTCACGTGACCATATCCACATGTGATACGTCATTTTGATCAGTGTATCACTGTGCACACACCTATGCTACTCTAGCACGACTCATGTGCCTGGGGTCCTCAGACCTGTCAATTGTCGTGCATGCACCATGCACATCTACTACACTTCCTGATGTGTAGATCTACCATGCATGGTGCACCATGCAATGCATACATTCACATGTACTAGCACGCGGTCGCGGGTGGGTGGTCGTCGGTCGCGTTGAGCGAGTGGTCGCCTTATCAGAGCTGTTTTGAATGTGAATGCGTCCGTGACAAGGAAATGTAGTCACCATGGTCGAGTGGTCGCCATTACAGGTTTTACTGTACACGATTGTGCGTCTCCAGCCTCTTGGCGAGGTTTTCGCCTCCATACTAATTAATTGCCCCTTATCATTTCACGGAGAAGGCGGAGAGCGCGAACGTGCGCATTTTTATTTTTATTATTTGCCATGGCGACCCCGTAAGCCCTCATAACTGGCAGGGCAGTGTTGGGCTTTTTTTCCTCTTTTCTTTGACATAATTATCTACGTCTTATTTTGTTCGCCCGTAAAAGTGGCTTTGGGTATTGTGAAAAAAAACTTATTTACGTAGAGTATTACGTAGATAGGGCTCTGATAACGTAGGTGCTCCTAAGTGGATTGGGGTACAAATTTATGACTCTCCCCATGTCGATCTGGTCGTACACTGCCACGTTCGGAGTTGCCAAGGGCAGCTACGTGATCTGAAATCTCCGTATGGTGGAACACAGATCCGCATGCAGTTTACGTAAGACTTTCTGTAGATCGATTACGTTTTTTACTAACGTA